CAACAACAACAACACCAACAACAGTAACAACGACAATAGCAACAACAACAACAACAACAACAGCAACAACAACACCAACAACGACAACACCACCACCACCAGCAACAACAACACCAACAACACCAACAACACCACCACCACCACCACCAACAACAACAACAACACCAGCAACACCACCACCACCAACAACAACAACAGCACCACCACCACCACCAACAACAACAACACCAAATACAAACACAACCATAACACACACACGTAGCACAATACCATAATTTAACACAACCAGATTATATACCAGACTTTGCACACAATGTGTTTGTGAATGCAACATGTCCAGCCAGGATCAATCGCATACTTCACTGACCAGTTCGGCCTGCTCCACCACACAAAGGACACAGAGGCATGCAATCTGTTTTGTCCATGCATTTCGGCCATGCATTCATGTGTCACATGGTGTAGTGTTCTCAGTGGCCGATAGATGCATTAGCTCGACATGAAATGTTCTTGAGTTCTTGTGTGTCTGTTCGCTGGCTCACGCAGCGGTACACTTGCTGGCAGTGTCTCTGTCTAATTTGTTGAAACAGAATCGATCTCATACAACTGGTATGTTTGTGTAGACTTTGAAAATCACGATGTTGTGATATGATTCTAGGACATTTCGGCTTGTACCCGTAGACTCGTAGATGTGTTGGTGTTGCTGGGATGCCGCCTAAGTCAAAAGCCACACGACCAAAAGCTACGGCAGTGAAGGCTGCGCCCGCGCAAAAGAGGCCAGCTGTGTCACCCAGGCCCAAGCGGAGTCCGTCACACAAGTGCGCCAAGAAGACCGATGATTCTGATGTGCGTATGTCTGCGGTTACTCGCGAAGGAATGGCTCAGTTCATCTCCAACTATTCACGTGGGCGTCATGGGCCTGTGACGACGATGCCACCGACCCCTTTGGATGTCGCACCTCATGTGTCAGACGCTTCATCCGGGTCCGTGTCCGTTGCAGCGCCGGCTACCTCTACCAGTACATCGGATATACTCACTCCTACTCATGTTCCTCCTGAGCCAGACGTTGATTCCGTGACGGTGATTACCTCCACTTCGCCTGCAATCGCTCCTGAGTGTGAGCCTTCTGTACCGGAAGCGTCATCTGAGTCATCACCGTCCGCAACGCCGGCTACTTGCACCCATGCACCGGAAGCTTCATCACCGTCCGCAACACCGGCTGCTTGTACTCATGCACCAGAAGATTCATCACCGTCCGCAACACCGGCTACTTGTACTCATGCACCAGAAGCTTCATCAACATCCACACAGCCGGCAGTGGCTACTTCTACATCCGATTNNTGGCTGAAAGACCGAACAAACAAGCTCAGCAAGCTATGCGATACACTCTTCGGGTGGCCGCAGGAGCTACTGCAGAGATTGGCTGCTTTGACGTCTGATGACGAGCGCGAGTATGCTGAGTACATGCTCACAGTGTTGAACTCCATGTCCATGAGTACATCATTCTCCGGAGTGGACTCGCCATCAACTGCACTTGCCATGCTGGGTGCGGCGGCTCTCAAGCTTCAGGGGCGCGAGGTGACTAAGGAATCCATGCCACAGACATGCAACAAGTTTGGAATCGAATGGTTGTCGCAGTCTCAGGAGGAGCTCTCTCGACATCCGTATGGCCCTGGCTGCATCTTCAGCGATGTTAATGACTTCTGGCTCCCTACACTTGCAGACAAACTGCAAACCATTAGCCGTGAGCGCCTGGTAATGACAATGCTCAAAGACCTAGTGAAGTCATCGGTGTGCACTGGCAGGGTAGCGTACTGTGCGAAGTGCAACCACAACTGCAGGGTCGGCGAGGCAGACCTCCACATTGGAGGCACGCCGTGCGTGGACTTCAGTGCACGCGGCCAGCAAGGCCAGTTGGACGGCCCGACCACGACGGCGTTGCTCGCGTTCATTGCCATGAGAAGGGATCTGCAAGAGCCGTTTTTTGTGCAGGAGAATGTGGCATCGTTTCCTGATGAGTTTCTTTCGTCCATGCTATCGGATCTCTACGAGCTGCAATCGTGCATCATAGATCCAGAATGCACGTTCGGGTGGCCGATAGCAAGACGTCGCAAGTTTGTCGTGGGGCGACACAAAACAAAAACGGTGCCATGGAACATGCGGCTGGATGAGTTCATCAGTGCGATCGGCTGTGGTGCTAAGTGCTCTGCTGACGGCACGCTTCCACCGTGGGATATCTTCTTTGTGGCTTCATGTGATGAACTGTGCTCAGAGTTGCTTTGGGCTGGCGGCCGTCCTACGTCACATTGTCAGGGTGGAGATGGCGGAGATGAGTGTGATATCTTCAGAAACAGTTTGTCAGCCATGGAGAGAAGGTTTCTCGAAGGTTACGAGACTCTTTGTCGTGACCGTTGTTACAGCTTGTCTCAGGACCCGCGTGACTTCGCCAACTATTCGACATGGAGCTGCATGCGCACACTCATAAAGAATGCAGGTATCCTCTTCAGTGACGTGCACAAACGATGGGTCACACCATGTGAGGCATTCATCATGCAGGGATTTCCGATTTATCCAATGCTCTCACATGGAGTTGCAATGTCATCGTTCTCACTGGACGAGTCACTGGACGAGACACCTGACAATGTCGGCAAGTCCGGTAGGTCCCGTCGTGCAGGGAGCAGCGCTTCTCGCACATCTAAGATAGGTATGGCAGGGAACGCAATGCATATCCAATGCATTGCATCAGTCATGCTTTATGTGATCACCCACGGTGCCATGTCTTTGAAGCAGCTTGCGTCTCACGGTGTTTACGAGTCTTTGTGCCGCAAGTATGTGCCTGCATCTTTTCTGTCCAACCGGTTGAATGCAATTGCATGCCTGGTTGCTGGTCCAGGCCCAAGGCCGCGACCTAAGTGAACCCGGGGTGCCTTCAGGGAGGGTATCACGTCGTGTACAGTCCGTGTAGAGTGAAATATTCTGCATGGTGCAGTACGTACCTTGCCCTTGTTTCACCAAGGGAATCACGCGATGTAGTTAGTATGGGTGTTGGTCTTGGTTGCGAAGCTACGACTGGTATGATGTGACGTAGCTGAGCCCGGCGTAGCTGAAGCTGAAGCATTGTTGAATGAGCATCGCAGAGTACAGCTAGTTCTATTGTGTTGTGAGCGGGGTCTCAGCTGAGTTGAACCAGTGTAGCAGCGACCCACAATTCGTCGGGCATGTGACACAGCCCAACACACCTGGCTGTAGTTGGGCGACACCAGGCGACATCAAACAACATGCTGTCTCAACAACGTCCTGGAGTCCTTGTAGATTGCATTGCGTTGAAGCGTTCTGAACTGAAGCTGGTCACGGCACAGGTGACGCAGACGCAGCGATACTCTGGATCGTGAGGGCTCTGTTCCGGGCCTGTGTCACGGCCNNGCCTGTGGCGTTTCAATCACGAGCTGCGTCATGTGTAAAACGAGTTGTCGGGTTGGTCTCACCGGTCATCCCAATTTGTTGGTGCTGAAGCGAGGTGGGTTAGTTGTCGGTTGCTGTTGGTCTCACCAGTCATCCCAAGTTGTTGGTGCTGAAGCGAGGTGGGGCGACAGACACATGTGCCACGCCATGCACGTCCAGCTACGAGTTGATTGCTTCCAAGAGCCATTTTGGTCTCTTGCAGTGATTGCTTGTGCTGTCCCGATTGTTCCACAGTCGTAGTCTACTGTGCCGCTCGGCAGAGTGTCCTCATAGCGACACCTGCGAGACTACCGTGGTCATGCAACCGTGCCTTTGCCTGTGCTTAATGTAGATTGCGTATTTTGCGATTGCTTGAGTGGGTATTCCTTTAGTTAGAAAACATGACACATGATCACATGTGACACATGCGTCTGTGTCCGTCATCTGTCGTCCGAGATACACGGCTGTTGCATGCAAGGAAATCCAGGTCACAGTCCTTCGGTGAGTTGGCAGACCACTCCATGACAGATGCTGAAAGATCGCTGTCAAAGGAGGCGTCGTGTCGGCCTCAGGAGAAGACCATCATTACTACATGACTACATGCAGCTTCATAAGATTCATAAACTGCATGATTCATAAACTTCATAAACTACGTAACGCCGCACGCCACATGTCGCATGCCTCCTATCGCTCAGGTACAAAAGAGCACATGAGGTGCTGTTCGGTCAATCCATGGAGATTTCGGAGCGCTTCAATTCCGAGCAGGGCATATGTCTGCTCAACAAGATTTTCGAAGTCTATCAGGACGTTCATGATGTTGCAGTCACATGTTGAGTCATGTTGTGTCATTGTTTGCGTTTTTTTGGGTGCAGTCGTTCCTACGGTCCAACGAACTCACCGTTGAACCACAAGGACGGGCCACGGCGAACTATCAAGTGGTTCAAAGAAGACGGGAAGACGCCAGCGATCCAACGCCATGCTCTAAACCAAAGAAAAACAGGATCGGCTATGCGTGGGTACGTCAAGAGAATTTTTGAATCTGGCATTATACAGTCAGTTCGCGGTGAGCCTTGGATGACGTACGATGAACACAGCGGGACATACTATGCGTTGTCCTGCGGAACATTGTTGCTTGGCACGACAAGTCATGATGCATGACTGCGTGATGTAGTGACAGTAAGCCCTCACTCTCAGACAACTCATGTCATCATGTCACCATGTCTGTCATGTCTGTCATGTCGCATGTTGATTCGTTGATCATGTTGTTGCTGTCGCGCCACGTGGAGGTGCGAGGCACTGTACGTCGCACATGCAGAGCAGCCAAAGAATGCCCGTGTCATTGCCACAATTGAGAACGGCCTTCCTGATTGCAGAGTTTTCAGCAAACGAATGCCCAATGACGTTGCTGCGTGCGGAGCCCAGTTCATGCGCATGCGTTACATTAGCGGTCCGGTTAAAGGGCTGCGTGTCTCGTCACGTCAGTCTCTTCTTACAACTGACCACTTTACATGATACGGTCTCACAGTCTCACTCATCCCGTGTGCGAGTTATCTCCGCGACCTGCACAACTGCTTCCACGGCGGTGTGGCTCCTACGTGGCTGGAATCCGTCCTTGGATCAAAAGATGTGGAGGAGGCAGTTTTGCCAGTCTCACCGTCTCTCATCACCGTGTGCACGTGCTACTGACATGAGTGTGACATGCGCAATCGCAGGCATGGAAGCGGCATGCACAGCGGCAGGGCATCACCACGGCCAGTGGGTCGTCATACCAGAAGACTTACTCGGATTGGGTGACTGAGAACTTCTCACAGAGGTTCAAGACTTTTCAGATATTTGATCTTGCCAAGAGGGTCATGCATTACCTGAACGATCTGGACTGTGTTGACAAATTCAGTGAAGCCCTCGGCGATCACTGCGACTTCCAACACGAGAGTTTGCAGACGCTGCCGGCAATGCAGAACCTGCACGTGTTTGGCAAGCTGATTGTATCTTTGTCGGCCGCCTACAGCCTTGAACTACTGTCGGAGGTTTTCATTGTGGGGAGTCGATACCTGGCAGTGAGCTCAGCTGATGTTGCACGTCATGTTGTTCTTGTTTGTGTTCGTGTGACCAGGTCGTTCACCGCCTGACTAAGTCATCAATAAGTCTGTGTCGAGGTGCCCATCATACGGGACCGACCGGGTGGCAAGGGTGGAGAGTATGATATGCCAATGCCTGAATGGACCTTTACAAAGCATAGTCCTGCCATCATCGATCGTCTCAAGACGGAGGTAGGCGGCGCTTCCTTCGTCACCAAGATCTTCAAGCCTGCGGCTAGTGCCCGTGCTCAAGCAAGTGCAGATGGAGCCGCCGCCCTCGACGTGAATGAATTGCTCGCACCCAAGAAGCGGAAGCGAGCCACATCAAAACCAAAGGCAAAAGGCAAAGCGGCAAAGAGTCGTGCCACTGATGAAGACGAGGATGCGGACCAAGTGCTGGCAGACGTGGAAGAGGGCAGCGGATTTAGCAGGAAACGATGGTGGATTGACGACTTGCTGTCTGCGCTGATCCATGCAGCAGGCTCTTGCGTGATATGTGTGAGACGTGTCACCACGTGACGTTGCGAGTTGTTGATTTTTGTTATTGCTGTTGCAGCTGTTGCAACTGTGTTTCACATCTGTGCATCACCTAAGCTGCATGGCTAGACTAACACAGCACAGTGCATTCCAGGAGACGTTGAGACACTCATGGACCCCGGCAACCGCAATGCTTTACGGCAAGCCATTGGGTTGGGCATCGAATTCGCTTTCCATGGCAAAGTCATTGTGAACGCGAAGCCGAAGAAGGTATGGTCTCAAGTCCGGCCACTTCTACAGGACATCATTCACAAGGGATTGGCTAGAAGCCGGGCAAGTCTCCCCACCTCGATGGACTCTGGACTTGGTTGCATGACAGAGAGTCTATCCAAGGATGCTCTGACAGCTAGCTCAACATCCCCTGGGGAGAAGAGCATCCTCCTGTGGATGACAGAACCGTCTGCATCATGTGTGCGGAAGTGGCTGAGTACCAACCATGCAGTCAATGCGTGCGACCATGCCGCTTTCTGTGCCGCTAGGAACAAGCTTGTCTGTCGGATGTGCAAATGCAAGCGGGACCCCGCGTCATGTCCAGTGCACGCAGATGTTTCGGTTAGCATTTCAGATCTGATATGGTGGACCTCGGACGCTATATTCGAGCACATACCTTGTGCCGTCCCTACATTCTCACTTGCATTGACAGTGAAATTCTCGGACAAAGCTTTGCACACAGCTGCAAGTGAATGTGTGCCGCAGTACTCTCACTTCCTGTGCAAGCAAGAGACCGTTGCAGGTGAACTTGTTTGGGTACCGAACAATGCAGCGCTTGAGGTGTTGGTCCGTGTGCGGGCGGTGTACATGCTCAAGATGTTGCAGAGTGCTTTGCAAACAGTCGCTCGTGGCGGTGCTGGTAACAAGGATCCATGCAAATTCACAGACTTCACAGCTGCCAAGTTGGACAAGGTGTGCCATACGCTGCTAGCAGCAATTGAATCCCCAGATGCCGGAAGCGCCGCAAAGCCCACTGACAGCAAGACGGTCATTCCAACAGCTGTCAAACTTGAGGTGTTGTTGACGACAATCGTCGCCGATGAAAGCGAATGGGCGACAGCGTGGAGCAAGCATCTGACCAAGTGCTTATCTCTACTCGGTCAGCTCGACAAGGCGTCTGACGATGAGATCAAGGACAAGATGCACGCTATCCCGCTACAGGAGCTCGGATTGGATGTGCCCGTCAAGTTTCGCTATTTGCTTGGAGACAGTGTGAAGTCGGAGGTATCGAGCCCGGCTGGCAACAAGGTAAGTACTGCGTTGCCAAGCGACACGCCAGGCAGCGTCGGTGGTATTGGCTCGGCGTTGACGGAGGACCAGTGTTTGAGCAAGGTGTATGTGTTCCACGAGGCAAGCGACGTGAAGTGGAATGTGCTTGATGTGATGAGTCTTCAGATGCAGATTTCGTCTCACTTGCTTGCGAAAGCGTGCAGCGCTTAGAGTGTGTATGGATACGTTCGTGATATGGTGTGGCAGTGTGATGCACAGACTAGTGTAACTGACCAGGTAAGTAATCACACACCACCAAATGCCTAAAATTGAACTGGTCTCAGGCTATCTGATGCCGAGAGTCGGACAAGCATGGAGTGTCTCTACATCAACTATGCACAGGGAGCCAAGAATGCATTGACAGTGGACATCAGCCAGATGACTTCGTCCTTCAACATTGCAATGTTCGGACAGGTGGTTTTGGACGCAGGTCCGAAACACTCGCACCTCTCGGCGTCTTGCGCACGCAAAGTTTAGGACTCTGTTCTGTTTGGTTTACTTGAGACGGAGTCGGCATGACGGGGGTGTTTCGCATGACGTTTCACTTCACGGCTTGTTCAAGACATGCTGCTCGTGTGCTTCGTGATTGCATGGCTGCTTGATTGATAACTCTTGCTGATTGCTGCCTGACATTGAATCTGAGTGTGTGGTTTCTTGTGAGGTGGCGTCTGCTAACCTATCCGGGCAAGATGTTCAGTTTTACCTGAGCTCCGCAAACTTCGACAAGCCAAGTGCTGCAGCTCCATGTGTGGGGTGGATGATTAAAGGTCTTCCTGATGACTCAAAGACACCGCCTTTGCTGGTGGCATCTGTCAAGACAGAGATGGTGAAGTTCCACGTCGCGTGCATTTGCTGCATGTTGGTTGCTAGCTTCACTTTTAACTGTATCTGTATCACTCGCTTGAACGTAAGTAAGGGTGCGGTATGTGCCACGGTATGTGCCAATGCGCCAATGTGCCGACATGAGCAATGCATGCAAGAATGGAATGAAACTCCATGACCATCAGCATGAGACCATGAGCCATGAGTCATGAGTTCCGCAGACAAACAACCATGCAGGAGTGGGTCGGAGGTTGACGTCGCCATGCAGTATCCATATCTTCGAGCGGACCTGCTGAACATGGAGCGCATTCAGGCATCAGTATGTTTGGTGGGCGGTAATAGCGGTAGCCTTGTTGCTTGACTGTGCGCTTGTAGTGCATCGTCCATAGTCCGTGCTGTCCGTGCTACACAAATTTGCAGTGCAGTCGCCGCAGTCGCTTGTGTGCATAGGAGGCTCTCGCAAAGGAGAAGGGTGATGACTACACTGGTACTCGGCTGACATTGACAAGATCGCTCTTCGAAGAAGAGAAAGCCGCTCTTGTAAAAGGCAGATCAATCCGATGCCCATCCATGTCGGCACCAGGCCTAGGCGGCGGCACGGCTATTGCTCAAGCAATGGCGAATCAAAAGCATGGCGGCAAACCAAAAAACGAATTGGCGGCAAGCATCCTCGGTGACGGCTTCAGCAAATCAACCAAAGAAAGCAAGGATGTTGCATTTTTGTTGAAGTGACGCATGGGGCACGTCATCCAGCCAATCGCCCGCGGGTCTTTCTAACATAATAAACCACTGTTTTGATCGTGAGTCGTGCGGTCATGCAGTCATACAGTGCAGTGCATTGGCAGTGCATAGACTATGCAGCGAGTCTATGCATATCATGATCGTATCATGATACATGACCATGATTCCGGCTTCATGACATGCTCCTTGCAAGTCACGATGTGGTGATGTTATGTTTAGCAGCGAATCAAAGATTCGTGTTGCGATTTGCTCGGCTCCGAAAATCTGAGCCAGTAGTAGAGTAGTGTTAGTGTTAGTGTTAGGCATTAGGTCCCGTGACGTAGGTGCACAATCACACAGATGCAGTTGGACATCATCTCCAGCCAAGGGCAGTGAGTAACTTGCGGATTGCATCAACGACTAACTTGGACTAACTTGTTAACTTGTTAACAGTTGTTCAGTTGTTCACTTATTCACAATGCATCAGACAATGCCGGGCCATGCCAGCCATGCCAGCCATGCCATGCACCACT